GATGCCACTGTTTATTCCAAATTTATATCCTCTCAGAATAAGAGACTCCAGACTCAGAGATAGAACTATTTTGTACAGGTTGATAAATGGGAAACTAAGTTCTCTCTTATCCTTCCTCTGGCACATTTCAAAACCCAGGGTAACTAATGTTTAGCTGCTTAAGCAGTTTGGTCCCTTTACTAAATGAAGGGTATTTATCATCTCTCAAGCTTGGTGCTACAAAGACCTTTACTAAATGAAGGGTATTTATCATCTCTCAAGCTTGGTGCTACAAAGACCTTGGTGTCTATGAGGGGAAAGGGAAGAATTGCGTTTTTACTGTCATAGTTGAATCCTTTTCCCCTTGTACACCCTTTTGAGAATTTGGTGAAAGCATTGGACTTGCTTAGAAAAATGCACATGGACACGAACATACATTTTTACACAGAATTTTGGGAGGTTTCTGGTCTTCTTGAAACTTATCCATAAACCCAAACTCATGTAGGTTTTCTGAACTCCAGACTAAGAACTCCTGCCTTATATAAGAACGTTGCTAAAAGTTATGGGTGACCTAAGATACTGTAACGTAATACTTCAAAATCTCATGCAGCCATCAAAGGGGAAATTTTTACTTGGGGGCCTTTAACTTAACCTTTAGCCACTAGGCTCTTTGCATGTTTTCCTGTTTCTTCATTGGCAGTTCATAGGCTGCTCTGCTGGATTATTCTCTTCTGACAGAATACATCTGAAAGTTGAATTTCCTTAGGGTTCTTCATGGGTCCGCCTCTTTTCTCCTTCTACTTACTGCTTGAGTAATCTCTTCCTTTCCCCTGGATTTAAATACCACTGTGTTGTTGATGGCTGCCAGATTTATATCATCAGCCCAGATCTCTTCACAGAGTGCTAGAATCCTATATGCAACTGCCTGCTCAAAAATCTCCATATACATATCTTATAGATGTCACCTATGTAACAGATAAAACTTATTGCAAATATTTTTTATAATAGCTCTATTGAGATAAAATTCATAGACCATAAAATTCATCCTTCACTAAATTAACTAAAAATCCAGGGATTTTTAGTATATTCACAGAATTGTGCAGCTGTCACCACTCTGTCATTCCAAAACATTTTCATCACCCTAAAAAGAAATCCTGTACTTATTAACAGTCACTCCTCATTCCCCCCTCCCCTCAGCCCCTGGGAACCACTGATATCCTTTCTGTCTCTATATTTACCTACTCTGGATGTTTCATATAAATGGAATCATATAGTATGTGGCCTTTTTCTGGTTTCTTTCACTTAGCATAATGTTTTCAAGGTTCATCCATGTTGTAGCATGTATTATTCCTTTTTATGGCTGAATGGTATCCCGTTATATGGATAATGCCATAGTTGGTGCGTACATGTTTTTGCTGAAGCTCTACTGCTACAGTGATGTGGAATTTAAAGCTACAGATGTGAAAGAAAAGTGATTGTGTAATTTGGATTGAAATAACATCACAAATGCTGATACTTAGAGATTGAGCTGATTAAAAAATTGTGCAATACTTTTACCTTATTTCCAAAAGAACACAAAATGTGAGGCTGCAGTCACTTTTAACTTTCTGTGAAGTCTTAAACACATCCTCTGATATTTTACTTTTGGAAAGATAAGCAAGCTATTTTGTTATTTTTGTGTGTGATTAGCTGAATATTTACCCATTTTAAAGGCTTTATAGAATTCATTTTATATAAAACATTTAATTGTTCTAGGACAGTGGGTTTAAACCCTAGGTCATATTCTAATACATTTTCTTTTCACAGTTTGAAATAAACCATCATTATTTTCAGTGAAAAATGTCTGAATGTTTAAATGACATTATTAAATTACATTACAAAATGCCAAAGTATTTTCTTCGTACTTCAAGGTTTGGTATTCATGAATGTATGAAAGTGCCAAGCATTTACTTTGAAGGTCTACACATAAAACTGTATTTATTTAAATGTGAACAATCTAAATAAATCACAGGATCATCTAAATATTTTAAATTACAATTCCAGGCACTAGCCTTGATTATGAACTGTAGCCATTTTCTGAACCCATTTAGGAATTTTCCAAAGCAGATCAGTGTTTTCCTTAGTCATGAGAAAGCTTTTATAAAGAAGTAATAAATCAGCTGTTTACAAGCTTGGTAATTTCATAAGGAAAATATTTTTTGACTATGGAAGGTAATATGAATAAGCTAGATTATGGAATCTTTGAATCTAAAAGATGTAAGTCATTGATGAAGAATATAGAATCTGACCATGAAGTTGACCTTTCTCTGCTATTAGATGAGGATTATCTCTTTGTTTAGTGTGAGAATTTAAAATAATGAGGTAGATTGATAAGTGAGATGCTGTGCTCCTGATTGTGTAGCACCCCCTCCTCTGTTGGAAGGAGTAAGTGGGAATCTTGATTAGTAGATGGGGTAAGTCAAGTTATATTAATAGGCAGTTCAGAGCGTTATTTTAGGTTTAGTGAGGTATCGAATATGAGGTCGTCACAGTTACTTGTTCAACTTAGGTGCATACCAGTGGAGTTTTAAATTCACAGTGTGGAAGGGAATGAGCACTTATCAGAACAGAAGGAAATGTGTGGTTAAACGGTTTCAGCTATAACTGTAGACTGTTTCCCTTGGTCCAAATGGGAGGAGAAATGGAACCTTATGTTTTTGGCTTTTTTTCCAGTATCAGTAGAAATTGATTCAGCATGGTTTATTGGGACCCTTAACAGGAAAAACAGTTGTGTTTACTAGTGGAGGGGAATGGCTTAAATATGCACTAAGAAGGCATAAGTCCTCTAGGTTTTTTTTGTTTTTTTGGGTTTTTTTTGGTACGCGGGCCTCTCACTGTTGTGGCCTCTCCCGTTGCGGAACACAGGCTCTGGACACGCAGGCTTAGCAGCCATGGCTCACGGGCCCAGCCGCTCCGCGGCGTGTGGGATCTTCCCGGACCAGGGCACGAACTCGTGTCCCCTGCATTGGCAGGTGGACTCTCAACCACTGAACCACCAAGGAAGCTCAGTCCTCTAGGTTTTATTTTACAGGTGTCTCAGTAGTCATTTTTGTTGCATAATTATTTAATAAGTTATTTTTATTAAACCTCTGTAAAACAAGAATGGCTCATGATTTTTTTTGTTGAAGAAACTGCTGAATTGAGTAAAGAAAAAGTTGGTGCTTCCAGCTTTTTCCTCAAAATGAGAAACTTACTGGCTATATAATTATAGGTAATAAATAATGCTAATTTTAGCTCACAAAAGCACTGAGATTATCCGAAGAAAATATATTTGATGTAAACAGATGAAGAACCTTATTTATAAAGATGTATTGGATAACCTGGAATTTTGAAAACTCATTGAAGTCCTGCATCCTCTGCATTTAAAAGATCTTGTTAAGGCAGTAAAATAAAAAAAAAAAAAAAAAAAAATCTATGCTGATTTTTATTCAGAAGCCCATGTTAAATGAGGTAGAGAAGACCTAAAATAACAATGTTGGGGGTTTTTTTTTTTTGAAGTACTTATTAGAATAAACTGGTGTTATGATGAGGGAGATTGTAAGAACTAACAAATTCCTCTTTTCTTCTCTTTTATATTTTCTTACTATATCACAGTAAAATACTCACCTCAAGATGAGTATTAGCACCTTTCCTTTCTTGATGGATCCTTAATTGCTCTTGAGAACAACAGGCAATATGAAAATTAATTTGGTGATCAAAAATGAAAGTGATTTAAATTTGGAAATCATACCTAAAATGACTTTTGCTCGAGGGTTATATACTTGAAACAGAAGAATTCTCTTATGTTTAGAATGCATAAATAAATGTTGTATCAGTTAAGGTTCTTTGGCTAAAAGTGGTAGAAATCAACTCTGGCTAATTTAAGTTAAAAAAGAAAAAGAAAGAAAAACAGCATTACTTACCAGGAATCTATGAGGTAGCTTATAAAACTGAAAGGAAATATGAAGAACCTGACCTTGGGTGGCTCCAGGTATCCAAACAGGGAGAAACAGTGCCTGCTCTCTTCAGGGGCTAGTGAATTCCAGTTGATTTACATCTTTACGCCTTCCTACTCAAGATTCAAAAATTAAAGCAAAGTACCTGATTGTCCTAGCTTCAGCTGCAAAAGAAACAATGTCACTTCAAGTATCACCTTACTACAGTTTTCACAAAATCTGTAAAACTTCCTTTTAAAAATAATCTGGGGCTTCCCTGATGGCACAGTGGCTGAGAGTCCGCCTGCCGACGCAGGGGACGCGGGTTCGTGCCCCGGTCCGGAAAGATCCCACACGCCACGGAACGGCTGGGCCCATGAGCCATGGCCTCTGAGCCTGCACGTCCAGAGCCTGTGCTCCGCAACGGGAGAGGCCACAACAGTGAGAGGCCCGCGTACTGCAAAAACAAAATAAAAATAAAAAAATAATAATCTGGAGAGACTTCCCCAGTGATACAGTGGATAAGAATCCTCCTGCCAGTGTAGGGGACACGGGTTCGAGCCCTGGTCCAGGGAGATCCCACTTGCCGTGGAGCAACTAAGCCTGTGCACCACAACTACTGAGCCTGTGCTCTAGAGCCCGCGAGCCACAACTACTGAGCCCGCGTACCACAACTACTAGAGCCCGCGTGCCACAACTACTAAAGCCCACACACCTAGGGCCCGTGCTCAACAACAAGAGAAGCCACCACAATGAGAAGCCCAACTGGACAAAGCCCACGCGCAGCAACAAAGACCCAACACAGCCAAAAATGAAAATAAAATTAAATCTTAAAAAAAATAAATAATCTGGAAAAATTGTGACTAGAAATAAAATCCTGGTAAACCAGATTAACTTAATATATAGAATATGGTCAGAGGCTATGCTTTGTATACTTTCCTACAGTTCTTAATTTTATAATTTATTTTTTTCCCCCCCAAAAAACAGTTTTCATAAGTAAGTTTATCCTTTGTTTTTTATGTGTCTGATGGCTTATCATTGGTTTTCATCCTTCTTTCTGTGTCTTAGGTATATTTGAAGGCTCCCATGATTCTGAATGGAGTCTGTGTTATCTGGAAAGGTTGGATTGATCTCCAGAGACTGGATGGTATGGGCTGCCTGGAGTTTGATGAGGAGCGAGCCCAGGTAGGGTGACTTCAGGCTTTACTGACTGTGGTCCCTTTATTTACCCCTAATCTTGCCTTTGTCTGGAGATCTATTTTACCCAGTCTTTAAGAGTAAGTATACAGTGCTGCCCTGGGAGCCGCAGCTGGTCCCGGCCTTGCAGCTTGCGGGGGAGGCTGCCCAGAGGAGGCGGCGACAGTGGTGGCGGTGGTGTGTCCCTGGGCCCCTGGACCGCAGCTTCTTTACTGCCAAGTCTATCCATCTGTTCATCCATCCGTGGGGGTCCACAATGGCCACCTTCAGCCGCCAGGAATTTTTCCAGCAGCTCCTACAGGGCTGTCTCCTGCCTACTGCCCAGCAGGGCCTTGACCAGATCTGGCTGCTCCTTGCCATCTGCCTCGCCTGCCGCCTCCTCGGGAGGCTTGGGTTGCCATCCTACCTGAAGCATGCAAGCACCGTGGCAGGTGGGTTCTTCAGCCTCTACCACTTCTTCCAGCTGCACATGGTTTGGGTCATGCTGCTCTGCCTTCTGTGCTACCTCGTGCTGTTCCTCTGCCGACATTCCTCCCATCGTGGCGTCTTCCTCTCCGTCACCATCCTCATCTACCTACTCATGGGTGAGATGCACATGGTGGATACTGTGACATGGCACAAGATGCGAGGGGCCCAGATGATTGTGGCCATGAAGGCAGTGTCTCTGGGCTTCGATCTGGACCGGGGCGAGGTGGGTGTGGTGCCCTCACCCGTGGAGTTCATGGGCTACCTCTACTTTGTGGGCACCATCGTCTTTGGGCCCTGGATATCCTTCCACAGCTACCTACAGGCTGTCCAAGGCCTCCCGCTGAGCCGTCAGTGGCTGCAGAAGGTGGCCCAGAGCCTGGTGCTGGCCCTGCTGTGCCTTGTGCTGTCCACCTGTGTGGGCCCCTACCTCTTCCCCTACTTCATTCCCCTTGATGGTGACCACCTCCTTCACAAGTGGCTGAGAGCCTACGAGAGTGCTGTCTCCTTCCACTTCAGCAACTATTTTGTGGGCTTTCTATCTGAGGCCACAGCCACATTGGCGGGGGCTGGCTTCACCGAGGAGAAGGGTCACCTGGAATGGGACCTGACGGTCTCTAAGCCACTGAATGTGGAGCTGCCCCGGTCCATGGTGGAAGTTGTCACAAGCTGGAACCTGCCCATGTCTTGTTGGCTAAATAACTATGTTTTCAAGAATGCTCTCCACCTCGGGACCTTTTCAGCCGTGCTGGTCACCTATGCAACCAGCGCCCTCCTGCACGGCTTTAGCTTCCACCTGGCTGCGGTGCTGCTGTCCCTGGCATTTATCACTTATGTGGAGCACATCCTCCGAAAGCGCCTGGCTCGGATCCTCAGTGCCTGTGTCTTGTCGAAAAGGTGCCCACCAGACTGTTCACACCAGCATCGTTTGGGCCTGGGGGTGCGAGCCTTAAACCTGCTCTTTGGGGCCCTGGCCATCTTCCACCTGGCCTACCTGGGCTCCCTGTTTGACGTTGATGTGGACGATACCACAGAGGAGCAGGGCTACAGCATGGCATACACTGTCCACAAGTGGTCAGAGCTCAGCTGGGCCAGTCACTGGGTCACTTTTGGATGCTGGATCTTCTACCATTTCATAGGCTGAGGCACGTCTGTGGACCCTCACAGCTCCCTCAAGAACCCTCCCCTGGGTGCCAACTCTGATGGGGGATGAGGGAAGGCCCTCTCTCTAATTTTTTTTTTTTTTCCTGTGGTATGCGGGCCTCTCACTGTTGTGGCCTCTCCCGTTGCGGAGCACAGGCTCCGGAGGCGCAGGCTCAGCAGCCATGGCTCACGGGCCCAGCCGCTCCGCGGCATGTGGGATCTTCCCGGACAGGGGCACGAACCCATGCCCCCTGCATCGGCATGCAGACTCTCAACCAGTGCGCCACCAGGGAAGCCCTAATTTTTGACCCTCTTTTTTGGACCCTCTCTCCATTCTTGACCCCCCCACCCAGTACACACACACACACACTTCCATCCATGGGCATCCCTACCTTGTCTCTTTTTATATATAGTTTGTTGTTATCAAATACAGTTAGGAAGTATTTTTTAAAAAGAGTAAGTATAGAAAGTCTCATGTTCTCATAATATTGATGAATTCTGAAGAGATTGAGACCCAAATTTTGGTCCTGGTTTGGGGAAGGTTTTTCCTTCAGTGGTTCTAAATTGCACTGGATTACCACTGTGTGCTTAGTGGGGCACTTCAAAGTGTAGTAGATGGTTCTGTTTAATATTTGTTCTGGATCCATAGCACATTATGAGGCGGGGAGAACCCAGTTTAAAATAAAATGGAGGAGCAGCACTTTTGAAATGGCTGAGTGAGGAGCTTGGCAGATTCTCTCTCCAAAAAGCAGTGATTAAACTTAACAAAATTGTAAACAAACAAACAAAAACCCATTTAAGGTCTCTGGAAATTAACCAAAGGACATATATTGAGAGGCATTTATTCAAACAAAGCTAGTGAATTTCAGGAAGAACAGTGATAGTCTGGCATTTTAGGCGGGAGCTGCTCCCATCTCCCTTAGCTCTGTGGTTCCTCAGGTTCTACCCTGGGCAGGGTAGAGCCATGAGGACTGGCAGCTCTGCTGTCCTCTCAGAGGGAGCTGACTTTATTTAGAGTAGCACTTGGAAAAATGCACGTCCAGGGCTGTTATTGAAAACAATAGCAGTCTCTGTGGCAAACAATTGGAGAAAACTAATGTTTCAGGAAGCAACAAAATGGCAGACTAGCCAGAAATTTATCAGGGAAATCTAGGGAAAGTGATAGCTAAAGTAAGCCTTATTGAGATCACACTTAATCTCTCATGGTCCAGAAGTCTATGTACATGTGCAAGGCTACACCTGTTCAAGAGAGGACAGAGAGAGCCCTTGAAAGCTGCTAGTCCCTGGCTGAATACAGGGTAGACTGATAAAACTCCCTGCACTTTGAAAGTAAGCCACACACAGATCCCATGGCAAAGGATTAGAAGCCTTCTGACTCAAGATGTTTAAGCAAAACCTCTGACCAGTCATTGGCTGACCACTAGGTTATGCTGACCCAGGGGCAACCCCCTAGAAAGCAAGGCTTAAAAAGAAAAAAAACTAAGCAGTGACATCAGAGGCTGCATACTGCTGGGGAAACAGACTCCACACAACTAGGCAAGTCACTAAGTAGACAAAAAACAGCAACAACAAGCTGGAGGCAGGGGTCAGAATTCAGAGTTGCTACAGTATATTATCTAAAATATCCAATTTTTAACAGGAAATTATAAGACATGCAAATAAGCACAAAAGTGTGACTGATACTCAGGGGGAAAAGCAGGCAGTAGATACTCTACCTCAAATGATGGTTCTTAGTGACAAAAGACTTAAAAGCAGTTCTTTTTCAGTGTGTTCAAAGAACTAAAGGAAAATTTCTTCCTTTAAAGAATTGAAGGACAATTATGACAGTGACTCATGAAAGAATATTAATAAAGAGATCTAAATTTTTAAAAAGAATCAAGTAGAAATTCTAGAATTGAAAAGTACAATAACTGAAATGAAAAATTCACACTCAACAGATTTAAGCTGGCAGAAGAATTAGTGAACTTGAACATAGATTAATAGAGATTATCCAGTCTCAAGAACAGAAAGAAGAAAGAAAAATGAACAGTATCAGAGATTGTAGGACACCAGCACACAGACCAACATATATGTAATGAAAGTCCCAGGCGATAAGGAGAGAAAGAAAGGGGCAGAAAATATGTTTTAAGAAATAATGGCTGAAAACTTCTAAATTTGATGAAAAATATTCATCTGCATGTCCAAGAAGTTTAATGAACTCCAAGTAGGGTAAACAGAAAGAAATCCACAACTAGGTACATCATAGCCAAACTGTTGAAAAACAAAGAGAATCTTAAAAGCAGCAAGAAATAGGCCTCATTACATACAAGGGAGCCACAATAAGATTAAGAGCTGACTTGTCTTTTGAAATTATGGAGGCCAGAAGATAGTATGATGACATACTCAAAATGCTGAAAGAACATGTCAGAGTATCTGATTATTAGCAGGTGTTAATTTTTTCAGTTGTTTAATATTAATCCTCTTAATAAAGTTAAAATAATGGCAAGAATAAAAAGGAGCTCTCTTTTTGTTATTTCTGTTATTCCCATTTTGTTCACCATTTATAGAAATGTAGGAATTTTCTTCTTAAGAGATCAAAAAATTAAACCTTCCTAGTAAAAAATTCAGGTTCAAAGTTAAAATTCTTAAGAAAGAATCTCTGCTACCTTGATTTCCACAGGGATAAGGAATACCTGATTCCTTCAGAAAAATAGTAAATAATTGGCAGTTTAGAAGGCTGTTTCTATAAGAAGTGATACAGCAGATTGAATTTATGTAAGGGTGAATTTCAGATTGAGTTGACTTCTAAAACTGAAATATTTTATTAAAGTGATAGGTAAAAATTTAAAGTTTAGCCCACAGTATTTTCCATACTGAAAATTTCCCTGCTTTGTTGCCCTGGTCCACAAATAGGTCTTTTATCACTATAAAGTAAGTACCATCTGTTGTCATAGTAAACTAATATAATAATAGGTCTTACATAATATAAAAATTTTAAAGCAGGGGATACCAACCATTCAGTCAACAGTCAGCATTTCTCTGGAGCTTTCCCCATCCCCCAGTCTTCTGGAAGCTAGTAAATGTAAAGAGGCAATGAAGTATAGAAGTTAGGAGTAGGCGCTTCATGGTCATGTAATTGTGATTCCTGGCCCCACCACTTACCAGCTATTGTGGACGGCATGTTTGTGTTCCCCCCAAATTCATATTTTGAAGCCCCAACTTCCAATATGACTGTATTTGGAAATAGGACCTTTATGGGGTCTGTTAAGGTTAAATGAGTCCTAAGAGTGGGGCCCTGTTATGATAGGATTAGTGTCCTGATAAGACATGCACAAGGGAGCTAAGCTTGCTCAATCTCTCTCTCTGCCATGTGAGAACAAAACTCTCCAATAGATGCTCAG